TTTTGCCGGGGGGGGGGGGGGGTAATTCCCTTGTGAAATGTAGTCTCAATACGCCAAGTAGGGGAGGCGAATGCGCCTCCCGGACAGCAGGTGGCGCCATCTCCGCTTGGCGCGTTCCGGTGGAGAGTTTTGGCCCCGCCGCTACGCCGTAGGCCCGTGGCCTCACGGGTGCGGCAACAGTGTACGGCCCCCGGAAAGATGTCGTTGCTGCGCACACTGCGCCTATGTCTGGTCGCGCGGGCCGGCAGCTGCCCAGTGAGTGCTCTTGGCCCTGGCCCCGTTCTGCCTTCCTTGCAGGTCTCCCGTGTGCCGGGCACGCTCCCTCCCCTTCCCCTGGCTGCGTTCGGCTCCATCTCCCCCTTCCCCGCACCTCGGTCCCTCTTCGCGGTGCAGCGTCCGGGCGCTGCCTTTCCCCCACCCCCTGGGTCTGTCTCTCCTAAGGTCGCCTCCCGGCCGATGTGCTTCCACCCCACGAGCTCCTCGCTGCTTCCTGCTTCTCATGCTTTCTTACTCTCTCCAGGTGGGGCCCCTTCTGCTTCAGTCGCCCCAGCCGTGGCATATATTTCACGCTGGGCCCTGGCTGTCCTCCTCGGCTTCCAGCAAGGAGCTCCTCATGAAGCTGCGGCGGAGAACGGGCTACTCCTTTGTAAACTGCAAGAAGGCTCTGGAGACTTGTGGCGGGGATCTCAAACAGGTGTGGGAGAGGAATTAGAGGGGAGCAGGCGCGGGGGTGGGAGTGGGGTACTGGGGCCCGATCCCAGTGCGTTTGGGAGGTCGCGTAGAAGTCAGATCTGCTGCCCAGTGACCCATAACGACAGAGTCCTAGATAGGATTCTGACTTCAATGACAATCTCACCCTTTGACTCTTACCTATTTCGAAGCAATTGACTCAGGGTCGCAGGGCTAAGAAACTGTTCCATGCAAGGCTGCTATGAGGTTTTCTGCTGCTTGGGGCTGAAAGGGCTTGTGGGAGCTTTGGAGTCAGACTGACGACCAAGACCCAGATCGTGGTATCCTCACACTAATCCTGTGACCTTGGACACCTTACTTAATATTTCAGAGTTGCATTGTTCTTTTTTATATAAAGAAAATATTACTATCTGCCACATAGAGTTGTTGTGAAGATTAAACTTATCCAAAACACCAGGCACAATGCCCACTGTTTGTCGTTCAGTGGTAGGCTGCCAGTAAATGATAGATTAGTTTCTCTTGCAGGGCTGAGGGGAAGGAGAAAGAATTGGGGAACCTGAGGTATTTTAGAGCCCCATTCTGTTCTAAATTCTGTGCCTTTGTCATCTGCCCTTTATCTTTTTTATTTATAGGCAGAGAGCTGGCTCCACAAACAGGCCCAGAAGGAGGGCTGGAGTAAAGCTGCCAGGCTCCATGGCAGGAAGACCAAAGAAGGTCTGATTGGGCTGCTGCAAGAAGGAAACACGACTGTGTTAGTAGAGGTGAGTTGTCAGATTTCTAGATGCCAGGAACAGCTGTCCCTTGGGTGTAGGCTTTGTGGTAGACCCTTTGCATTCTTAAAGAAGAGGTGTTTGAGAACCATAAAACCTAGTTAGAATTAAGCCCGTGAGACCCCAGTTACTAGTTATGGATTCATTTAAGTATAGAAATGCACAGGTTGTGGGTGAGAAAAGGCCTAGTAGTGTAGCCTGTTATTCCTAAATGTGAGTCCATTGTGGCCTTACACCTCGTCACTGATTGTTTCCTGGAATAGTTAGATTTTAAAGCTAGGAATTAGACTAATTAGATGATGGACAGCAAGCAGCTGTTTTAGAGGAGGTTTAGGTTTAGGGGCCCAGTTGGTGAAGAATCAGGTGTGGATTAGTCTAGAGCGAGAGAAGAGATAAACAAGCTGATAAACAAAAGTGGTTTGGTGTTGGAGGAGCCTAGGGAATGAGGCGATTATGGCATGTGCCACAGGCAGGTGGTGAACTTGTAGTGAATCCTTTGGGGGACGTTATGGAGCCGTCCTGTGAATGCGCAGGTTATTGCTAACTCATTGGCACAGCAGG